CGTCTAGCGAAAATCCGTTTGCGAAGCAGTGACCAAACATTGTCCAGCAAAATTCCCCCATAGGAATCACTGTTTTGCGAATAGCTATAGTGATCACAAAAAGTCAATGTCTAGTGAATAAACTGTCATGCAGGGTAACTGTCTAGCGAGGCATCACTGTATTTTGTGTTCCTTGAACCATTTACACACATTACTTATAGGTAATGCTCAGAACAACTTCTTGTGGTGATTTCTCCAACCTGGTGCGCTGTAATCTCAAGCCAGTACAGTATCACAAATCCCTATGCTGGCTGCCATTGATGGGCACTGTAGTTTATCAGGTTGGGGAAGGCTGGTGTGATGTGAGTAAGGGATACCATATCCACATGCATGTGGAAGGCTAAAGCTCAGAAATTATCAAACACCTAAAGCTACCAAGTGTATTCATAGCTGTGGTTAAATTTCCTGGTTCATGATTCATGTTCCTAGGATAAAGCTACCTCTTTAATAGCGTCTTTACATCAGGCTATTCGTTTGGTTTTTTTTCTAAAAGCAGTCATGTATGGCCACAGCCCAGATTGGGATATGACATAATTGCTTTTACTGGAAAAAGAAGGTGCCCACTTTTAAGCTCACCTTTAAATATGCATGCATAATGCACTACGTAGTTTGACTCTTAGCCATTTATTTCTACGACAGATCTTGAATCTTTACCTTCAGAGGTACCTGTTTCCTTCTTTCCTGCCCTGTTTATTTCTCTGAAACATTTCCCCTGAACATGCTCCATACTATGTGGTTCTCCAGATTTTGATAGTTATCTGATAGGAATATTGTGATGAATCTTCCCAGAGTCCTGCTCCTGTGAGCACGGATGAGAAAACTGTGTATATTTTAGGTACATCATAGGGATCCTCTTAATTACTTTAACATTTCAGCTGTCATGATGAATTAGAAGGTGGCAATTTTAATTCATACAAAGCTGGGAAATTAAAGATGTTTCCACAGTGCTTTTTTCGTTAAGGCCAGAAACAGACATTAGAGATAGCCCGGAATTAGAGATGAAAGTACTGTACATTCGTGTTGTAGAGAGGTGTTTGTGGAATCAGACTTCAAAGGAATCCCGTGCTGAAACCCTGGAGACCACTCACCAAGCCAAACAAGCTAATTTGCATACCCTCAGAGTTGAGGGAAGATCTTGCGGTGGCAATCACATGGTCACATTAATGAAGCATCTCCCTCTTCTAGTCACAGCCTTCCTCTAGCATTTGTTTCTGGGTCAGATTGAATTCCAGCCTGGATCCCATGTATGTACTAGCTGTCACATAGGAAACAGTGAGCCATGGGTTCAAATTCTGGTCTGTCTTGGTGACCTTTCTGTATAGCCGTAGAAGTAAGATGGTAAGTGATAAAATACCCATTCTCAGAGTCCTCTTGGTATTTGTACAGTGGAGTATGGCTTATGGTTTTGACATTGTTTCTTCTTTATTTGTAACTGCCTTAGGTGCCTTCAGGCACCTTTAGATGAAAAGGCAGGGGATTACACTTAACTAAATATATAAAAATAAACCAACTGTCCAAGATTCTGCAATCCCAGAGCACAGAGTGCTGTCCTCTGAAGATGCCGGCCACAGAGACTGGCGAAACATTAGGAAGAACAACCTTCAGCACATGGCCAAAGAGCCCGAAAAACCCACAACAACCATTAGATCCCGGCTGTGAAAGCCTTCACGAATATATTCTGCAAGCTGCTAGTCTTTGCTGCCTCTTAGAATATCCATTGGTTTAGCAGCAGCAGCCACACTCAGATCCGGGGAAGGTCTTGCCACCTTCCCTCGATAGTTGCCTGGCACTTGGTACTCTGCTGCATGCCTAGATCTTGGTGTTGTACACCGAGCTGTGCAGCATGCCCACTTCCAAAGTTGTGCTTCCTTGCAGCCGTACATCTCATCACCACCACCAAAAGCTCCTCGCCAGATGCAAGAACGTGACCTAAAATCCAACATGTCGGCCTCTCCTCCTCATCTGAGCCAGGCAGGTCTAGCTGCTGCTGCTGCTTCTCCCGGCTTTTTGCAGTCCTTGCATTTGTGAGGCACTTTATGCAAATAAAGAGGCTCACTAGGGATTTGTTTTATAAAACAGTAGGGGAGGGGGCTTGTAGGATATTTTTGACTCCTTTTTAAGGGGGAGAGAGGGAATAATTGCGCAAGTCAAAAGTGTTTAGTGCTCCCCTTCTCTTGATTGTTCGGAGCTCCACAAAATTGCTCTGTAGTTGTCCCTTAGCAAAGGCGCATTGCAATTAGCAGTGAATGGTGCTGCCGACAGCGAGATTCTTTTTGCCTCACACGTGCGTCAAAGAGATGTAATTGTGTTATAGATTTTCTTGGGCTAGTGGTGAGATTGGGGTGGGGGGGATGCAGGTTGCCGAAGCTGTGGTCTTAATGTCTACGCCTGGATGTGGTCTTTTCTTCTTTCTGTCTCTTTCTGTCCCTAGTGAGCCCTTTATGGCTCAGCACAAGGTGACCTCCTGGTAGCACATTCAGGGCCCAGGTGCATCCAGGCTCTACAACCCTGGGAAGAAGTTGGTCCACTTTCTTTTGGGTGTGTGTGTGTCAAGATGGCAGTTAGAGAGCAATACCTCACAGGTCCCTTTCTCAAAGTGAGTTGCCAGCAGGTCACATTATCAAAATCGTCACTTTCTCTGCATTTGTCCTTTTTTTTTTTGTCTCCTAATCACAATATTGTTTTTAATGTATAATTTCTCATGTTGTGATAGTCTTGTTTTATGTACCTAGGTGAATTCACTACAGAATGTGCAACCAACTTGAGTCCAGTGAGTTTCTGTGTGGGCCATTCCTAACAAAATGCCAAATAATCTGTAATGGGTTCTGTGGCTTATCTTTCTTCTTTATTTGTATCAGAGCATTACACAGTTTAAAATTATGGACATATATGAAAAAGCTAAAATTAAAAACAAATTACAGTTTAGATATTTAGACAGGGTTTTTTTTACCAGAAGCAGGCTACTTTAATAGTGTTATCTACAGTATTTGCTAGATTTTCTTTTGTACACATGGCAAGACATAAATTGCATACACATAATTCACTCACACCAATATTGTCTGGAAGTGGCAATATCTTTCTCAGTCTTTTAAGGAAAAAAAACCACACGTATAATGTTTCTTCCTGAGTCCCTTGACTACCAACACAGAATGGAAGTGGAAGGAAGGTCTCACATGGGATTAATATTCTACACTAAACACCAGAGCTTGGGGGGTGGATGGAATAGAAAGCCATCAGCATAAAAAGCAGATAAATCCAGTACTTTGGTGCAACTCAGACAAGCATCTTACTTGTTTATCTTCATTCAGAAGAGTATTAGCAGGTCCTGTATTTCAGCCACAGATTTGATGGTAGTGATAATGAGAAAAGTAGCACCAAGGAAAAATGGAGTTGAACTCTGGGTAAATAAGAAACATTTCTTGTGCATTGGAAGAATAGCCAGAAATGAAGACTTTCTGGGAAAATGCAAGATAGCTTCCTAAACATATCAGGGAGAGATGGAAGAGAGATTTTGGAGTGGAAAGGGGTTCATGTTTATGCAAATGTATCAAGGTTGAATTGCTCAAATCTATACATTAATGAAAACTTACTTATACATAAAATGTGTTAAAACACGTACAGAATATATCAATGTTTATTTTACAGAAAAGTTTGTACAAAATGTTTTTCTCCTGGAGAAACTAGCTTGAAAAAATTGTGCCTTTTGAAAAATGTGCAGTTTTTTGTGTGCACTTAAGAAGTCCCTTGCAAACCAATATAGAAATGTGATGGAACATATGTACATTTTGAAAAAAAATGTGAAATTACTATAAAATTGAAGTTGACAGATCTGTGTATCTATAAGTCTAGCAACAATAATCTCAGGTGTTTTGCCTAAAATTAAAAATAATCATGGGATGGAACAAAAAAAATACGTTTTTTAACATAAGTAATGACACACTACAGGCTTTGTAACTGTTCTTCAGGTATCTGGCAGATTGATAGAAATACAGCTGGGTATGGATTTAAGGTTTCTTGCTGACTTTAAGCACACCCATTTCAAGGGGGAGATTATTATTTGAATACTGTACTCATAAAGTCTAAACAGTGTTGGAGTCCAAAGAAGCATTTATTTCTCTGGTATAAGGTAAAAAAAAAAAAGCAGGAACCAAAGCAATGATGGGCAGCGGAGTCAAGCAGGGAGAAAGCAAGAAAACTATGCATTGTAAGGAATAGGTCACTGCTAAGGTAACTAGAAATGGGTGTTTCCCAAAGGCAGAAGTTTGTGTGGCTCCTTTGTAATGTACAGATACTAGGGTTTGAAAATTATAACTGTTTCCATTTCATACAGACATAAATTGTGAAAAATAACGGTGTTCAGCATAAAAAATGGAATGTATGATTGAAATGGCTCATGTGGGCGTATTTAATACACAGTTCTTCAGCGCCTCAGTTTTCTTTTGCTTTTGTTTGTTTCCTCTGCCCCTGTGGTATTTGACGAGGGTCCATTCAGGACACCAATCTTGTTCCTCAAGTATATTCTAAACAACTGGTCAGTAATTCTATCATAACATTGGATTAACCACAAGCCGCTGTAGCTGTCTGAATGTTAAGTAAGAATGGGACAATCCATTTCTGTCCACTTTTCTAACTGTGACAACTTGAAATTGCACACCCGTAGACAGTTATTATCCCCCTATGCAGCTGTTAAAGATACTGCAAATAGCTAGACTGGTGTCACATGCTTGCCCCCCCCCCCAAAATTTGCAACTGCACAGAAATACATGGTGTGGGGTTTTTCCCCTCAAGGTTTTCCGAGAGTTTGTGACTGACCAGCAAATACATTGCTAGTGTGACATTGTAGTTCACAACTGAACAGTTTTTCCCCACTGATCTACAGAATAGAGATGTCTAGAATTACTGGAAAATATTTACTAATCTTATTGAAACCGTTTGATAACAGTGCTTTATTAATTCCTCAGGTGTTTTATTTGAGCAAGAATCTTTCGCTGAACATCAGCATGTAGATGAAATTCAGTGGCAATTCTAATCCAGATTGCTTTAGGAGCTTACGGCAGTCATCTGCACATGGGGAAGAAGAAGAAGAAAAAAAGACATACTCATAATTCTTTTCTCCTGCTCCCACCCAGACCCACCTTGAGCATTGTAATGTGATGCACATTGATGAAGCAGAAGTTTATAATTCGGAGATGATTACTTCACAGAAAGAAGGTTGCATATATGACTTGTATATGAATGGGTTGTGAACATAGTTCGCATTTGAGTGAGTAGCCCAAAGAAGAAAGGTGTAGAGGTAGCATTTTGTGATTGCTATGGAAGGAGAGGTTTGAGAACTAACAGTGGGCAAGCTATGTTTCTATGTTTTAAGGAGGCAGGAGTTCTGATCAGCATATCAAAGTCATATTGAAATCCAAGTAGGCTCCATTGCTTTAGCTTTATGAAAGATGGTCAGAATGAAGAATTTTTTAAAAAGGTACGTACATACCTTTGAGTGGTCCTCAAATTGCACAGTGAAACAGAACTGTGGTAGGTCTCAACAGGACTGACAGCCTGCCCTTTCAGTTTTGTACTTCATTTTGAATTGGTTCTCCTGTCTTTCTTACTAATAAATCTTTGATTAAATAGGCTTTGCCTACAGCACAAAACTACCCAAAACACAAAAGGGATCTGCCCTTGGCCCTGCAAGAACTGGGCTCATCACCAGAAGGAATTTGTGCAGATTAGCAGAATGCAGCAAGCCAGTAAGATGATTTTTTTGTTGATGAATTCCTCCTGGATGCTTATAGTGAAGTAAAAGGAAAAAAACTTTGGTCTTATTGTTCCAGGAAATACATGTCAGTTAAAACAGATAGCATTGTTCTAAGAACTGCATTTAAGTTAAAATCTAGACTTCAATAAAAATCCTGTTGCAGCTGGCTTTTATGTGGTGTAAGTGTGCTGAAGGCCAGCATTGGGGTGGGGGAAGAGGAGGAGAAGAAGAAGAAACAACTCTGTGAGGTAGGGGAAAGTGATCTTAGAAGGAAGAGGGAAGAGGAGGAGGAGAAGAAGAAACAACTCTGTGAGGTAGGAGAAAGTGATCTTAGAAGGAAGGGTAGCATTCTACAAGGAGTCCCTGACCGAAAACCATGAGAAGTCAAGGTGATCTATTCCACTTGTTTATCTAGCTGTCAGTCGGCACACCCTGTTTATTTGAAACACAACATTGCTGCACTTACTTTAACAGGCCCCTCACCTCTGGACTTGGCCCAGACCCTAAAAAGCAATTGCAATGTTTTTGTTATTGCTTCAAAATCCTGTTCATTTGTGATGTGTTCATCTGCAATACTACAATGCCTGAACTTTGTCTTGGCTAGAGTTTAGACTGAACTGTATTTTAGATGACTGCTATTTCATATTCTGTTCTAATGTAAATATGTGAAGCTCATTGTGGGAGCGTATTTGTTTGTTCCTTTGTGTGTTGGCTGCCATGTGTTTGTTTCCGTTTCATGGGCTCCAAAAGTTATAGAACGACTTAGGAAAGTGATTCCCAACCTTGGGTCCCCAAATGTTCTTGGACTAAAACTCAAATAAGCCTTCACCTCTAGCCTTGTTGGCCAGGGTTTCTGGGAGTTGTAGTCCAAGAACATTTGGGGACCCAAGGCTGGGAAGCACTGATCTAAGGCATTCAGAAGCCTGCTGGGATAAAGGAAGCTGGTTTTTCATCTTTTGTGCACTTATCTGACATGCGCTACTGTTCTTTATGTCAGATTTGCCATCTCTTGCTATCTCCTCTGGTGGTCATAGGTTTTTTTTTCCATGCAGATATTGTCTGTCTAGATCCAGCCCTGCCTTTATGTTCCCGTTCCCATTTTTAATCCTGTTCCTATAACCAGACAATGCCAGACCTCATTCTGTCTGTGGGAAGCTGGTAAAGATAGAATTTTGCCCTGACAAATTAAAGACTACTCTGAATAGTCCAAGAACGAAAAGGTTGTTTGTGGGATAGCCTTTGTGGCTGTACAGAAGCCTTCCAAGGGTCAGACTAGGGCATGCATTTATTATTTATTTTAAAAACATGTTCCTTCAAGTGATGAAATAAATCTCTTTGTATTCGTATTTCCTTTCCTTCATGTCTATATCTTGCATTTGGCATAGTTTGATGATTGGTCACTGGGAGGTAAATAGGGGCTTTATTTGCAACTCTGGTGGTAGAGGCACGACATTCTGACAAAATTGTACTGTGGGATCGGAAGCAGATTAATCAGAGGGAACACAAATGTCTATTTTGAGTTTGAAATGATCCTGCAAGTCATGCCTATGCTGCACCATGGTGTTCTCAAAGCGAGATTACTGTATTTATTTATTTATTTAATTTATTTATATCCCGCCTATCTAGTCAACTCGGACCACTCTAGGCGGCTAAGCTGTACTTGTTTGGCCCCTCCTGCACTAGGAAGATCTGCAGTGGAGTACCTGCGCAGCCACTGATTGCTTTTGGAAGGCTGCTTTCACTGGCATGGTTTCGAACCCGAGAAGTGTGAACCCTTCAGGCTTTTTGGACCGCTCTCATGAACTACCTCACTTTAATTCCATTAAAGTAATTCCATTTCTTTTGCTGCGAGGCTTTCATTGTGCTGGTTTTTAAGAAGCTGCCTTTATTAACTCAACAGGTGATGGCATCTCAGTGGTGAGAGAAGCTATGCTCATCTACGGATAATTCCACGAAGCTCATAGCAGTCCCTTTGGGACCAGAGCAACATGGCAATATCTTGCTGCACACACCCCTGGTCTTTCGACATACTAAATGTGCCTGTGGTACTTAAGTGAGAAGAATCCTACTGTTTCCATTTGCAGACCTGATGCCAATTCTATGCCAGATTGCTGCCAAACGAACGCGCCCCTAACCCCTTGTGTTTCTCTCCTTTGCTGCCTCTGCTTCCATATGCTGGCTCTTATCCCACAGGGAGGAAAAACAAATGTGTGGTAAGCTAGGCAAAAACTTTTACATTGCTAGGAGAAAAGAGGAAGGCAGTCACTTTTTTTTCTCCTTTACTCCTCCTGTTTTTTTCTTTTTGTACGCAGTCAGGGCTGCCCAGCAGTGACATGGCTGGCCTTTATAGCAGGCCTGCTGTTTTGAGGAAGATTCTTTTCTTTTATTTAGATATTGGGTCGCACTGCAGATGAATTAAGCACCATATTTACCTATTATTTTTTCACTGTCTATACTTTTAGATCAGCAACACCAGGAGGGCATGGCCTGGCAGGCCTCAGATTCGCACCTCAGCTTTGCATATCCACCTGAGAGCACATCTCTCTTCCTCTCTCTTTATGTCTGAGCTTGGTAGGGTGACATTTTTGCAGATTCTGGGTAGTTGTGCTCCCAGAAGTGACCAGCAGAATCTTCTTGCCTTGGTCCTGTGCTCAGCGTTTCATTGTGCTGAACAGAAGGGTTTTTCCAGAGCTCATCCAAGGAATTCCTGAGAATCCACTGAGGCAGACACTGGCTGGAAATTGTGGGTGCTGGACAAAAGCTCTGACTTTTCTCCCTGTGATTCCCCCATACGTGTTGGGATCTCCAAGGAGGCTTTGCTCATTCAGGGGCCCCTCAGTGAGGGAAATGAAAAGAACAGGGGCATAGCAGCAGGAGCTTGAAGACCATAGCATTTCATGGAGCTGGAGAAATGTGCAGCCACACTTTCACAACAAACTGTGTGCCTCCAGGATGCCACAAAGGCAGAAACAGGGAATTAGGGTTCTGCATGATGGTGTTTTCCTCTTTGTCTTGTCTGCTATCTTCTCACCTATAGACTGAAACTGTCAGGCTTGACTTCATTTCCTCCCACATCTCCAAAGATAATGATCTCATTGAAACCTCAGACTTTCTTTGAGTGTCTCATCTTGCCTGTAACCAGGGATGGAGGTTTGTCTGAAAGTGGGTCCATCAATCTGGCAGAGACTGTATCTGAGTTTGCATGATGAACTGTGTTCTGATGTTCCAAGGTCTGATGAGCAGGGTTACAGCTATCATCATTTCTGGTCAGCAGCAGGCATTATTTCATCTTACCAGTACCATAGCAATAGTCCAGATCCAACAGCAGAGGAGAATTGATGCTCGTATTGTCAAAGAGGAGCTGGGGGGCAAGAGGAAGAGGGACATTCTCCTGATTTCTGATTGCAGTTGCTACCTGTAGTCCCACGCAGATCAATGGAATGGTGAAAGGGAATTAATCAAATCTCAGAGACTTTGTGCTGCTTAAAGTTGCTGATTATTTTGGGGCACTGATAAGGATTGGCTGTCGAATGAGGAAAAATTTTGTTTCACTCGCTGTAGTTTTCTTTTTGCCAGGTTCTGTCCTCTTCCCGCACCCTGTCTACATCACCTACTTTGAGGTTTTTGTCCATTTACTACAGATACCTTGTGCACACATGCCTTTTACATCAGAAGATGGGTGGGCAGGTATTTATAGGAGCATTTGGATCACCATCTCATGCACGCAAAAACCGGAACCGCCTCTGTGCCGATTGCCACTTCCTTGAAGGAAGCAAGGAGGATCAATGAGACTCCTTGGGTGACGACTGGCTGTTTTGATGTTTAAGATCTTCATGCCCTCTCATTCCTACTCTCAGCCCTGCAATGGCTGGATCGGGACTGATGGGTATTGGTCTTTCCCATTGTGGACATTCCAACAATGGGAAGAGCAAGTTGGCCTTCTCTCTGGACCGGGTTGACTTGTCTCAGGCTAGTGGAGCTTGTGGTACTGCTAGCTGCAACTTCTGTTTAAGGTCAGCTAGCCTTCCTTGTGGCCAGCCCTGTAGTCTGGTTGGGGTGGGTATGGCCGATGAAAACAGCAGCAGAGGACTGTGGACGGGGCGCCTGACTACACTCTTGTGGTTTAACCCAGCTTCTAACCTAACAAGAGGTGAGAAGCTGCCACAACTTACTACTAAGATTTCAGGCATAGGGAAGCGCCCGAGTGGATAAATCATTATCTGGAACAAGTAGAAGTGAAGTAGTAAACCTGCAACCCAGAGAATCATCCAGCAACAAATCAGACTGTCAGG